ACATTTCTACATCTGGAGAATGGGGCTGTTTATGTGTTGTCTTCTTAGTTCAGAGGGGCCCCTGCCTGTCTTTGCCGAGGCCCCAAATTTCCTAAATCCACCCCTGATTAAAAGTGACATTAAGTGTAAATGGACAATACAATCATTTTTGGCCATAGTTGAGAAAATACGTAACAAAGAGATAAATTAATGGCAGCTTATTTGGTTTTAAAGCACGGTAGGCTTCAAAGTATTTGTGCAACAAGTGCATGGTTGTTTGCCAGAAGCGGTTCTTTGTAGCGGCGCTGTGGCTGTGGCAACTGGCGGAGCTGATTAGGCTGCTTATACCTCGGCCGTCTGGAGTTCATTTGTCCGAGCAGCAGGATGACTGCCTTCATTCTTAGAAACCCGGTTCCCATGTGTTCCTGCCAGGCTCTCAGCCCCGATGGCGCATCTGAGGCTCCGTCATCCATCACACAGCGGGCAGCCATGTTTTACTGAAAGGGCCGTGAACTTGTTACCTCTGCTGGGCTGTGGGCCTGAATGTCAAACTCATTTTTCTTTTCTTGTGCTGCCTTTATTTCCCATCCCCTTCCCACCATTGCTGGCTTACTGGAGTAATTGGGCTGCATTCAGAGCCGCCAGGTTGTCAGTTCAGCCTCTGAATAGAGAAATCAGCTCAGAGCCATGATTTCTCTTTGACCTCGCTCGCACAGCTCCCTCCCCAGCCGCCCTCTGGGGTCGTGACGGGTCATCATGGTGACTCCTGCTTCTCGGCACAATGTCAGAACATCCATGGTACATTATCTACAGTTCCTCAGCTGGCCCTGAGCTCCGTCTGTAGTCTATTCTTTCCTGGGTCTCTGGATCCAGTCTGCTCAACATGGCAGCCTGAGGGGGCTTTTATTCCTCCAGCAGAATTAAATCACTTGTCTTTCTTTCTGCCTCTCTGCTGAGAGATTCAGAGTTTAATGAGGGAGGCGAGATAAAGGCCAGCTTATGGTTTGCCGGATGATGGAGAGGCTGCCTGTTTTGTTTCTGTTGGAGGAGGCACATTGTGAGCGCTCATGTGAAATGCGTTTTTTCTAACCAGAGGAGAAGGTGATGGAGATGTCTGAGAAAATGTCTCACAGAGCAGGGGTCATTAAAGTGTCAAAGGATGCAGCTCTTCACATATTCCTGTTCATTTCAGAGACGTCCAGCCTTACAGGGCGCCGAGCCCAGACAGAGGAAGCTTCGGCAGCCAAAGGCGTCTACCTTCTGCTGGGTTTAGGATGATAAAACATGAATGCTTTGATTTCATCATCTGCTCCCACACCTGCAGCGCCGCGCATCATTTTAACGGGATTATCTTCTTACGTAAACCTGGGTGGCGTGGACGCCGCCGCTGTGGGAGGACATCAGGCTGGATGTGAGGAATTTCCTGGCTGACACCGGATCACGGGGTCGTTGTTTGGAGGTTGGCGGCAGGTCAAAGTCTGCGCCATATATCAGCTGTCAGCACGTGTGTTTGCTTTAGCAGCAATGCGGGCGTCAGCAACGACGCAAGATTCCTCCGTCTGACATCACACACAGCAGTCAGAGTGGAGGGGTGGAGGAGTTCATCCGCTTTATACATGCCACCTCACACACTCACAAACACACACATCCTCATTCTGCTGTATGTAGTGAGGACCAAGTGTTGACTCCCATTGATTTTCAATGTCATTTTCAACCATTTCTATTCCCTAAACCTTTCAGACGTGATGTGAACCATTACCAATACCTCACCCTAACCCAACTGACAACTTAGCCCTGAACCCACCTATTAGCAAAATAACTTGTGAGAACCAGCAAGATGTCCTCACTTTGCAACAACTGGTCGTCAATTTGATGGTGAAATTGGAAAAAAGGTCCTCACTCTAAGGGCTAGACAAGTACACACACACACACTGATCTTGTGCCTTTCTATCCTTATAAAGTCTTTGCAATGACTTTCATTCATTTTCCGTTAATCTTTAAAAGCTAACCTTTATTATAAAATGAATGGAATAGAAATGTCCCCACAGTGGGGGAAGAAAATGGGCAAATGAAGGCAAACAGGAAGACAACACAATAAAAAAATATCAAAAATCCA